GTGAACAATGTGAAATATATATATGGGTGTATGTGTAAGCTAAAATATATACAGAGGGGTGAAAATGTAAGCCATTCCTGTCATAAACATTTAGTTGCTGCCATATTATTCTGTGTAAGACTGGTCATGAGTAACCATCATGCCACACATGCAAAATGTCTTTCGTCTAAACCTTTCCTTTTAAAAATTTTAAACTGGGTGCTTGCCTGAATAATTTTTATACCTCTTTTCTGTTTATAAACATTTAATGTTTCTAATTTCCTTATATATAATTTCATGCATAGTTCTGAAATGTATTTTATTATTACTCTTTTAACACTGCTTGATACTAAAAAGAATTGGTGTTGGGGCTGGCATAACTTAGTGGTCAGGAGTGTAAGCCTGGCACTGCTGAACACTGAATTATTCAACCAAGTCCCAGTTTCAGATTGAAAACCTGTCTCCATCATGTACAAATTCTCCATGTTAAAATTCTTAACATGTACACCAGAGTACAATAGATAAGACACTTACCTTGTATGAGGCTGACCTGGGTTTAATCCCTGGCACCCCATATGGTCCCCCACGTAGGGCATCTGGGTGAGTCTAATCTGTTTCCCTGTAGATGATGCTGTGACTTTTAATTCTTTGTTTCTATAGCCTTCATGAAGACCAGGAGGGCAATGAGACCAGAAACTGCCATTGATCAGTTTTGCAGGTCGTAGGGAGGAAGGAAATAGTCCAGAGACTGCAGGAAATGAGGCCCATACAATCTTCCTACACACCTCCAGCCCCCTGCTACCCTATATGCACACACACACACACACACACACACACACACACACACGTGCACGCGCAAATTTCTTGACTTCTCTCAATGTCAAAAGTCTACATTACAGTTCTTTGTGTATTGACCATGGTCAGAGATTTGAATTTTTTTAATTCAGTTCCCTGGAGGAAAAGGAAAGGGTACTCAGTTTAACTACTGTTAGCCTAAAGCCTGAAGACTCAGGTCTTCATCCCAGAGTTTAGTTTCCACCAGAATTGCAATGAGTCATCCTCTTTTGGAAGTTCACTAATAATTGTTATATCTTGTAGTCTCTGTCCTTCACCAGAAGACCTAGGTGCTAACAGCAATAATATTTGACATGCACTATTCTGCAAACCACTTTCATGATCAACTTCCCTTCTCCTTGTATTGTAATCTCCAACATTCATATGTAGATGCACATGTATGTCATATTGCAGCCAAGAGAAGCTTTGAGCTAATGAGGTTCTCCTATCTGTAGTTTGCTTTTAGTTGTGCTTTAATGAGAAGTTTTACTTGTTATCATCTATTCCACCACTTTTCTAGAAGCTGAATCCCAAAGTAATGCTGAAAGTCCTGCAATAGATAAGCATGTAAAAAAAATAGAAATTGCTATGAATTTTAAGATTGTGTTAGTTCATCCCGAACATGATAATCTTTTAAAATGGGAAATAGTGTATAACTCATCTGTAGTTATAAGATTAACTTTAAGAGATTAAATCTGATGAACAGGAAAGGGAACAATAATTGTGCAGTTTGCCTGTAGGTAAATTACCTTATGTTAAACTGGATCCACTAGCTGAAGCAATTCTTTTTCTGTAATAGTTTCCATTCAGAGGATAAGTGCTAATAATACATGTAGCAAGCCAACAACAACAATGAAAAAGATTTAAAATGTTTTTATTATCAATAAAGAGCTGTAACTGTGAAAGTACCTGAATGATATATTTCACACCCAAAATAAAGGTGCAAAGTGTTTTCCTATTGATATCATCTGAGGCACATTCATAATGGCACTTTGAATTCCATACATTGAGGAAATGTGAAACTGTAGAGTAACATTGCTGACTAAAATGAAGCAAAAATGTTTTCAACTTTGTGGTTTATGTCCTGTGCACAATGAAGGATGACTAGAGAGGGTTTGTAACTGTCTTTGCTCCCACCTTTCATAGCGTTTATTTCAACCCCAGATCCTTAGGCATCCAATTTCTTTCTATTTCATACCAAATTCTCTAAGTTTTCAGAGTTGCAAACTCAATTCTGACACTTCAGGAGAGTACTAGTGCCACTATTGGAGGTTGGGTGGTAGGTAGATTTTGGCACACTCCACTCCCTCTTCCACTCTTTTTGGCTGACAATCGAATAAACATCACACCAAAAATAAAGTTTCACAGCCCATACACATCCTGTATACATCAGATAAATCTGGTGAATCAGCAAATATGGCTAGAGACAATCACGATCACGATCATCCTGTTGTTGTTGTTCGTTGATTGCCTCGAGCAGGCACCAGTAGCGTCTCCTTCTTCCCAGCCCTGAGATTTTAAAAGAGACATATTCAATGCTCTTTTAGGATTAGGAGAATGAGACCCATCATTGTTACTTGTATTTGGCATATTGAGTACGAAACAGGAAGTTTGCCAGACTCTGCGGTGTGGGCAGGATACTTTCAGTAGCCTGCTGGGATCTCCAAAGTTAAAATAAGATAATAAGATATCACGAGGCCGCCAGTGTGGCCGTGCACTTCTGGGAGCTGGGTTTTATAGTCTCTGTGTCTTGGCTGTTGATGGGATCAACCTGGCTCTGGCTGCAGCTAGTGGGTGTGACGCCTACCTACTGGAAGATGGGGTATCTAGGTGGAGAAGGCCTAGTTCCAATCCAAGCAAGCTTGGAGATCTCAGCCCTGGGACCCGCATGCCTGGGTTCCTCTGCCAGTTTCTTCATGCCTGAGGCTTGTCTGGACTTGTGGAGAGTGGTCTCAGCATGACTGTGGCTGGTTCTGGAGGTCTTTGGCTGCTGGGACTCTGCTGGAGGGGGGGGGAAGGGAAACTCAACCTGCCCCCCCCTCCAAGGGGACCCGGTGAGGACAGCCAGGAGCAGGGGCAGGAGACTCCTAGACTCTGGCTAGAGACAAACTGTTCCAAATGGACAGTCCTTTGTGGGTTACCAGGAAAATGACAAGAGCACATAGCTATTATGCCTTTCCCATTGATAAGATGAGTTAAAGAGAATAGGTCTTCCTGGTACAATGAGGGAGACATCTCAAAAAGTGACATTTTCTATGACTTAGAAAAAGGAAACCTCCACATAGCTTTCAGAATGCTTTCCTTGAAATAGTCCTTCTATCAAAGAAGCATAATTGGCAGTGATAGATTTTGTTCCCATATATCTCTGAGGTGAGGACTGTCATCAAAAGGACGTTGCAATGCACAACTGGGCATTGTTTGCATTATTACTCAATTCATGGGCAGGCCTTTGGGTCTTTCAAAAGAGGCCATGTATGGTGGCCACTTTATCATGTGCTCCTGGTGGTAGTGACAATGGAGTTTTCTACACAAAGACAGTAGAATAACCTTCTTGCAGTCAAAGTTTCTCTCTAGAGCCATGCCTAAATCATGGGCCTCCTTGACCCTGTCCATCATCACACTTTCTTCTCCACCTCCAGCTCTGATTTTAAGTTTATTTGGGAGTCAAGAATTTGGGTCTCCAATTGGTCTTCTCTATTTTATGACAGACAACATTATGGATGGGGGCTGGGGCAGTATCCTACTGGACTGGTACTTGCTTTGCAAATAGCCAGCTGGGTTTGATTCTCAGCACTTCATGTGGTCCCCTAAGTTCATCAGGAGTGATCCATTAGTGTAGAGCACGGAGCACCAATGGGGTGTAACCCCAAACAAAAAACAAACCAAAAAAATCATAATGATCTCGGTGCCAGTCTTTCATGACTAACACCATACAAAAACTATAGAATCTCTTTTGAAAATTAAACCCTCGGCTGTTGTCTCCTCTAAGAACTCTGAACATTTCTTTTAGTATGGAAAACTGAAATGATGGCCTTCCTTGTTTTCTTTCTCCACTGTGGTGAATTTTTTTTGATTTTTTGTTTGTTTTGTTTTCTGAAACACTAGAAACGAATTACTTAACTCTCTTCAGAGTAGGAGGAATAGTAAACAGTCGAGAGATAAAACACTGTACATAATGAGATAGTAAAATATCATAGCTGAAAATGAAGATGCATTGGATCAAACTTCAGCTCCACCACAAAACTGATAAACATTTACCTCAAATTTTAATTAAATTGTGCAATTTATTTTACCTCTCTGTGACTTACCTTGACTATGTTTCTTTCTTATAGCTGTTAAATAACAAGCTGATCATCTCAAAAACCAAAAATTTATTTTCTCACTATTCCGGTGGTTAGAAGTCAGAAATAAGTTTGGATGAGTTAAAATAGAGTGTTGGCAGGGTCAATCCTTTGGAGTTTGTGGAGAATCTGACCTCTCTCTTCCACCTTCTGGTGGCTGTGAGCATTAATTCTTGCTACGTCCCTCTAATTTGCTGTGGCTCATTTGCCTTGTCTTTTTATTTCTTATGTCTAATATCTCCCTCTGCCTCCCTCTCATAGGATTGCATCTAGGGTTCAATAAAAAAAATCTAGGATAATCTCCTCTTTCCCAATCCTTAGCTTAATCTGTTCAATATAGTCCTTATTACCATATAAGATAAATTTTATAGAATCTAGAGAGAATTAAATATATTTTGGAGAACCATTATTCAGCCTACTGTAATTAATTTTATGCTAGTATTAATATGAACATTGTACTATATGTTATGTCAAAATACCTAGAATAATATCTAGTGTGTAATTAAGTTCTCAATAATATTTAGCTATGATGGTGATGTTTATAATGGCAAAGCAATCAAAATTGCAAACAAAAAATTTCAAAAGGAATAAAATAAAATTTTAATTTTCCTAAGTACAGAGTATTGTATCTGATCTTTTGGTGTGTGGAAACATAAAATATTACCATGTGTAAGGTTTACCTTGACATTTTGTAACTATAACTTAGTAGTTTCACATATAATGTATAGTTTTGGGGGGCTTTATCTTTTGTTATTTTTCACTCAAACTTCAAGTCATTGCATTCTGAGTTCTTCCTAAGTCAGTATTTTAATGTTCTTTGCTTTTCTCTGTCTTCTTCCCACCAAGGATACAGATTTAATGACATTCAACATTTCTGTACACCGGTCGTGGTGGAGGGAACATGGGCCTGGCTGTGTCCGAAGAGTGCTGCCTCCATCGGCTCATGGCATGATGGATGACTACACATATGTGTCTGTCACAGACTGCTTCATAGACTTCCAGTACCTAGAGGTCATTCATAGTGCTGTCCAAATACTACTCTCGGTAAGTGTCACATTTGTGTCATTGTCTAATTAGCATTATCCCTTATTAGCATCTTATACCTAAATTTTTTCATGCAAGTTTTGTGATATTGTGATAGGTACATGGCTGGAGAATATGCTTTAAGTAATGGAAAGAGCCCCAAGAGTGGTAATAATATTAGTTATACTTAGTGTCAGTTTATATCTTTTTTCCCTTGGCATCTACTTCATTTTTAGAACTATTTTGTTGCTATCCTTTCTAATTTGTAGCATTCTCCCAGAGCACTGCATTATCTGTTCTTCATCTGAGGCTCTACAGCTGCTACACTTATACTATGACTTCTGAATGAATGCATTCTTTCACATGTGCTCATTAATCCAGAGAAAAAGGTGTGGAAACATACCCAATTACTTAATCCAGCTTGTCAAACCTCATTCAAACAATTTTTCTTTAAGAAAATAAAACTCCACGGAGCTAATATTTCTATGTCTAAAATTTGGTGCCAGAATGCATGTCCATTAGAGAAACAAGCAAGCAAGCAAACAAACAATCAAGACAAATGACTTGATTGAATCCACAAAGGTTTAAGTGCTGGGAATCCATGAATTTTAACTTCCTATCTCCAGAATGTTCACGCAAGCATCGTCAGTGAGGAGTAGAGTTAATGGAAGATGTATACTGTCTTCAAGAATTGTGTTGCTTTGAGATGTAACAAAGATTTGGCGGGTTGGTTTTATTTTTAAGTCACATATATAATAAATCCATTTTCACTTAAACCATCCATCTCTATTCCAGCCAACTGATTGTAGTTAAAAATGAGAATTGAAAAATACAAAATCAGGAATAACAGAAATATAAAAGGTATATGGCAGTAAAGAATGTACTTTCTTAGAAAACATTTACTCTTTGTATTATCTACTATTATTTAATAAATAACTCAGAATTAAAATTTATTAAGACAGTCTATCATTTTATAGCTTTGAGTTCTGTGGTCAAGAATTTGTGCAGAATTCAGATAGTATCTCTACTCACATAATACTGGTTCACTCAAGTGAACCTTTGACCAGAAACTCAACTGGAGATAGAATACTCAAGAAGTATTATAAGCTAGCTCACAGTTAATACAGACCGAGGTGATCGAATAGTGAATTACTATTGGTCTTTAACCCATATGTTTCATGTTTGTAAATGAAATTTTAGAGCACATTTGAATTACAACTTTCTGGTAAAACTAAATATTAGACCTTTATTTTTTTTTAAACTTAGTGTTCAAGTTCAGTGAAAGGCAAATTTGACAATAAATTCAAAGTTCTGCTCCAATATTGAAAATATTTCTTTCATAAATATATAAGGAATCTCATTACTCTTGTTTCTATAATTTTTATAAGCATATGATTTTATTGCCATTTATATATATACATATCTCCCTATTTATTATTTCTCAATTATTTTGTCTCCAGTATCCTGAGCAGCTAGATATGAATCTGCAGTGACATATATATTTATATATAAATATATACTTAACATTCGACACCATAAATTGGAAGCAAATTTTCTCTAAAAAGTTTTTATCCCATTTTAAAATAAATTACTGCACAATCTTACACTAATTTCCAAACATTCTTAGCAACTTTTTTGCAGAAAAAAATTTCCCTAGATCTTTTGTATATGGAAAAATCCCCACCTTCTAAAAAGTGATTCACAGGGGCCAGGCTAGGTTTTATTTCTGGAACCCATTGGTCTCCAGGCATTGGCGGCAAAACCCTGTAGATCTCCAGATACCTCTGGGGCAGGGGTTATAACTGCAGGGCTCAAGAAACACAAAATCCTTGGCCCTCATGCTAAATCAGTGACCTGGCTTCAGCCAAGAATTATTTTTACGCCCCACCTGGGAGCCCCATCCTCTACCACTCAATTCCGAACAAGTGATTCATAGTAAATTGTTTAATCATTTTTGGAATGGTAGTCTGTAATACAGCAAAATGCTAGGAAATTGAAATGTCATTTCCCCATATCATCTTTAATTCAAAGGAATGGCAAGGTGAAAATATTTATTTGATAAGGAGCTGAACCATCACATAAAACCTGTGCTAAAGAGATACTAAGTAAAGTATATACTGCCACCTTAAGATGCTTGCTACTTAAAAATGAATACCTCAACATTCTAGTTTAGTGAGTATTCAGACTTGTTTATAGGTGTGCATAGCTTTGACTGCTGTTCAGGCTTCTGGCTACAAAGGATTAGTTGCTTACTATAGACTTCTCTTGGTTAACATCTTTGTGAAACCAGATTTACAATATTTTATCTCTAATAGTAAGCAAGAATATATCTTGAAATTGTTTCTCAGCTATCAAAGTGTTAATTCTTGTTATAGTTGACTTGATGTTAATTTCATGTATTTTTACTTCTTATGTATATATTTATACATATATTTTTATTTTAATATGATAATATATGAATACTACATATATCAGTTACTGAACATGTGATGAAATATGACCCTTATTACTAAAAATAAAAAGGGGTGATGTTTTAATATATAATATTGTGTTTTGCCTGAGCAACCTAAACTAAGTACAAACAGACAAAAAACTCTGAGATGGAGCAAGGTTCTAGAAGCCATTCTGTACCAGGGGCTATACCTTTAAGTTAGATATGCACAAGATCTAGAAGAACCCAAAGGATGGCCTGGGACCAACAGGTGTAGCCAAGATGGCAGAAAGGGTGTCTCCCTGTCTCTCCCCTTGATCCCTGACTAATGAGGAAGAAGTGTTTGAATTACTTACCTGTGGATTCTGCTTGGCTGGTAAACAACACCTGTACCATTGCTGTCCATTTGATTAGAGTTTAGAACTGGAAGAAACAAAATGTCAGTCATAGTCATTCTACAGGAACCATGTCCAGCCCCCCAAAAAAGTAATATGGAAAGAACATGGGACAGGATCCCATACAGAACTGTTGTACAGAACTTCACAACACTGACAGCATGTAGACTTCTTGACTCTTCATCCACTTGGCCGCAGTACACCAATAAATATCTTTTGAAAAAGAAGTTTCAAGATGTTTTAGCTTAATAATTAATTAAGGAATAGTCACTTAGTTTAAAGACATAAAGACATGCATAATTAATATGCATATATACATATATAGATATATTCCTTCTATTCTTGTATTCCCATTTGCCTAACTCCCCTATCTTTACTTCCCAATTTGCAACAAGGTTTATTTACTTTTTAATGTTATGTATATTGGTCCAAAATATATTTATGCAAATCAAGAAAATTAAACTACATTCTTACCTTCCTCCCAAGACAGCATATAATTTGCTCTCTTCTAAAACTTCTCTTATGTTGGTTATTGCATATTTCAGAGCTCTTACCGTGTCATTACATCAGAATTTTAATTATTTATTTAGTATTCCTTTCTTGGTGGGCCTTTAATTATTAACCCCATTCAAACTTGGTTATTTTAGTATATAAATATTAGCATAAAATATATATCAACTACTAAAATAATATAATGGCAAAGCCTGGCAAGCTACCCATGACGTATTCGATATGCCAAACAGAGTAACAACAAAGCCTCACAATGGAGAGGTTACTGGGCCCGCTCGAGCAAATCGATGAACAATGGGAGGACAGTGTTTGTTTTTTTTTTTGTTTTGACTAAAATAATATATAACTATATATACATTATTATAGTAAACAAAAATCTCTTTTTATGTTTCCTATAAAGTGTTCACTCTCTTGGCACAGTCACTATCCAGTTGTACTGAATGTCCTCCCTTATGAGCATAGTTTTATCATTATTGAGTCTCTTGTCTTATCTACAAGAGTGAAAAATGCCTCAAAGTCTAGAAGCATCCTTTTTTCACATTTTCTTCTCTGTAGTCCCAATAACTAGCACCATGATGATGCATAAATATTTGTGCATGAGTAAATGGCCAATAAACAAAGGATACTAAAGTCTAAAGTGGAAGACTTCATGGATCAAAAACCATCAACCTTATGCACAGACAAAACTCAGAAGTCAGAATGAGATGCTCTTCATCTGGGAAATGGAGGAAGGAGACATTGCTCTTCAGAGGCTTGGCATCAAGACACTCAATAGCTTTTTACTATTATGAAGAGATAATTGGAGGCGGGGGAGAAGGAGGAATATCCACCTTTTCTGGTTCCTTTGCTGACCAAATAATAAATTGGCTTGAAAGAAGAAGTAGCAAGAGAAAGGACAAATATAATTTTGTGAGCATGAAAGTCATAAGATACACAGAATGACAAAAAGTCTATTTGTGTTGATTTTTAGATAATTGCTTAATATCTCTACAAACAGCAAATAGGACAAAGAAATTACTTAATACTTTGGATGCTACAGCTAGTTTTATGAGTGATCAAGTGCTTATTTTCATAGCATTCAGACCCTGTCTTTGATGAGAAAGATCTATTTCTCCACAGGTCAGATAGCTTTCCCAGGGAGATTTCTTTCTTCAGGGAAAAAGTTTTCTCCATATTTTTATAAAACTTTCAAAACATGTAAGTGAAACAAGGATTACAGGATCTGCTAGTTAAAGTCCAACAGTTATATCCTGTTGTGACTTGGACTTCCTATTCATCCCATATCTCCAATGCCTACAGCCATTCCATGCCCAGTGACCACTGACTCAAAATTGTTGACTAACAACATATAATTTCTGGATTTCATGTTTGTTAAGCATAGAACATAATTTTTTAATCTTGATTGTGTCAAAGAGGATATGACTTTGTTTAAGATCCTTTGGAAAAGAGAAGCTATGTAGAAAACATGCTTTTGAGTTCTTCTGGGGTAACTAGTATTTGTTGAGTGGGTGAGGAGTGGGTGAGAGTACACAGTTGTAGAGAAAAGGGGAGCCAGTCTGTTCCAAGTCTACCCTTGGTTTTTTTTCCATGTCTACAATTTCTCTAATTTAAAAGTGACTTCATGGGTTTATCCTTTCTTGGTTGCTTTGTTCCCACCAAGACCATCAAAACAGTTTCTGATGAGA